GGGCTGACCCCCGAGACATACAGAAAGAAGTGCCAGAGGGTGCAGAAGGAGCCACGGGAGACCTATGTGGATCTGGCCTCCCGCCAAACTCAATACTGCCACAAGTGAGTGTCTGGAGTCGGAGCCCAGACCACAGAGGAGCTGATCATGATGGATCAGTTCTGTGAAGCATACACGCCCAGCCTGAGGCTGTGGCTCAAAGACCAAAATCCGGAGAACCCCCAGGAAGCTGGGAGGCTGGTGGACAAATTCACAGAGAGCCGGTCTGGGTGTGAACGGGAGTCCTGGAGAGAAAGGGAATTGCCCAGAAACTGGTTCTCGGCTGAGCGACGGAGAGAGGCACCTCTGAGGCAAGCCCCAGGGACTAGGACCAGTCATCGGTGCCCCAGAAAACTGGCCTGGGCAGAGCCAGCCCAAAGGGGCCCACAGAACCTAACTTGCCATCGCTGTGGGCAACAAGGCCACAAGAGGGCTCGGTGCCACAGCGACAAGAACAGGTCCCATGACCTGGGACTTTCCAGGGTTAACTAGCTGGGGCTGGAGGAAGGGCAGGCTGCCCCAGAGGCAGGGGCTGGCAGGCAAACCTCAGCTCAGAGTGGGGGGAAAGTATGCTCAGTGCACCTCCCATGGGAGATCTGACCCTCGGGAGGTGAATTTCTGTGTGTACCGGGTGGGGGCAGGGCAGCCACTGCAGAGCGACAAGGCAATGGGTTTCTAGGACACAGGGGCGGAGGTGACGCTGGCCCGACCTGACATAATGGCCCTGTGGAGAAATCTCTTTGATATTATACTTTGTATTAAGATCTTGTCCTTTAAGATATATCTTTGTGTTCTTACAGAATCTCTGTAACATTTCTCCTATAACTTTGTATTAAAAAAATGTCTTTTGAGCTCTCCCCTTTCCTTGATTGCCCTGTTGAAATGAATGAGGTGTGAATGGAGAATGAAAGGGGAGCACCTCCAACAGCAGTTGCAAGGGTGGAGAAGGTCTGGGAGCCAGATCTAAGACAATACCTGTGTGACGTAGTGGGGGTACCTGGCTGGTTTCTATGCTGCTGGCTCTGGGGTAACCCCCACTGGCTGGCCGGGGGGACCCAAACCAGTATGGCCAGACACCCCCCATGGAGAGGAACAAAGGAAGGTGGAATGCTGCCCTGGCTGGGGGGCAGGGCTGGAAGAGAGTTAGTGAGTTGCAGGCTGGGAGCATGGAGGAGACAGCCTAGGGAAAGGGGCTGGAGTTTAGGGGCCCAGTCTCCCCCATCTCAAGGGGGCCTGAGGCATCCTAGCCCAGCTCTGTGACCAGATTCCATCTGTGCTGTGCTGCATCCTGGAGAGGCAATAACCTTCCTCTATTCCACCGGCTGGTGCAGTCTGTTTGTGCCATTTCAGGGTGCAGGAGACAGGGGACCCCCAACGCGCCATCACAATCTGCAAAGTGAGCTCATTAAGAAGACTGCACATACAGACACCTTGGGAGTCAAGCAGCAAGTGCCCACCCTTGGAACAACTCTCTTTGAAGCAATATTAAGAAAGGCCAGTTGATGACTAATTGGCTGCATGAGAGGGATAAAAAGGAGGCATCTTGCAGAGGGACCCCGGGTTTTCCTCTTGTCAACATGGGAGCATCGATCCAGATCGGCAGAAGCCTGGCTCCACCCCCTCCCCCATCTAACGCACCTGGCCAGTGCAGTTAGGGGGAGCTACTTTTGGTAACAACAAGATGGAGTGTGCTTTTGTGTGTGTGATGTGATGTATCATATGCATATGATCCAAGTATTGATTATTCTATGTGTGATCAATAAATGTGGCATGTTGCCTTATCCCTCTGAAAAAGATCCCAAGTACTTCTTTTAAGTACAACAGCCCCAGATCGTATGCTACCCAACACTCAGCTGACCCTGAGGGGCATAGACGGGACCCCATTTAAGGTACCCGTAGCCAGGGTGCATCTGAAGTGGGAGGCGGAAGGTCTCAAGGAAGTGGGGGTGCACCCGCACTTGCCCACGGCGGTGCTGATGGAGAATGACCTAAAGGAGTGGCCCATGAATCTCAGCGGGCTCTAGTCACTGCCTGTAGCCAAAGTCAACGAGGGGCTGGCGACCCTGACCCAGGGGAGGGCTCCCTGCCAGAGACTCAGGGCCCCATCCCAGGGGACACAGGGTCCAGCCAAGCTGGGACCCCGGACCTAGGCAAAGGTGGGGAACAGACCCTGATCCCTGCCCCAGCGGCTGAATTCCAGGCTGAGGTGCAGGCAGACCCCTCCTTGCAGAGGCTGAGGTTCCAGGCAGGCCTCCGTGCAGCTCAGTTCCCTGGGGGGAGGTGGCCAGGAGAGATTCCTGGGGGAGCAGGGATTCCTGTTCCAGGAATGGCTTCCCCCTAGGCCTAGGAGGGGGGGGGGAGGGGGGGGGGGTCCAGCGGCAGCTGGTAGTCCCCCAAAACTATTGCCGCAAGCTGCTGTATTTGGCCCACGACATCCCCTTTGCAGGCTGCCGGGGGATCCAGCACACACAGCTGAGGCTGCTCCAACACTTCTACTGGCCGGGGCTATTTACGGCCATGCAGAGATATTGCCAGTCCTGCAACTCCTGCCAGAGGGGTGGGAAGGCCCAAGATGGGAAGAAAACTGCATGGGGGGGGGGCCCTTCCCCATATAGAGGAGCCCCTGGGCTTCCTGTGAGTTATGGGAAGGGAAGACCTCCCTGGATGGAGCGTTGGGGGTGGAAGATGCCCTGGCTTTCCAGGAAAGGCTCGCTGAGCTCATGGCCCCATCCTGAGACACCCTGGCCAGAAATCCAGGCCATTGGAAAGGTGGATGCGACCAAAGAGGACAGGCCTGTGCCAGTCCCCCTGGAACAGTGCAGCAAGTGGACAGAGGGAAGCAGATTCATGTGGGGCCTCACCGCGGCTGGCCCAAGTCAAGGGGGGCACCCATGTCCCCAGGGCGGGTTCCCACGCAGAGGACCCGAACTTTCCTAGGTCACAAGCAGAGTGACTCTTCTTGGCTCACTCTGAGAGGGGAGAACTATGACATAGTGTTGGTATTTTGCTGGTTGCTAGGCTTGGGCTGAGGGTGACCTTCGCTGGCGGCTGTTTGTAGCACAGCCCAGTAGGACAGGGGATGAGTCATTATGCAAGGGGCTCCCAACCTGTCCAACCAGTTGCCTCCCAGGGGGGAGAGACAAAGGAAGGAGGGCGAGGTCAGCCCCTGGCTGGGGCGAAGGGCTGGAAGGAATTTTTAGCTTTCTGTCTGGTATCATGGAGAAAGAAGCCTAAGCAATGGGCTGGGATTTAGGGGCCCAGTCTCCCCCCATCTCAAGGGGGGCTGAGGCATCCTAGGCCTGCCCTATAACCAGATTACATATGTGCTGTATCCTTGGAGAAGCAATAAACTCCTTATATTCTACTGGCTGGCGGAGTCTGTGCCACTACAGGGGTGCAGGAGGCGGGGGAACCCCAACGTGCCACCACAGCAGCTCAAACTGATGACATGACCCTCCTCCTGACTCCTTTATTAGCTGACCCACTTGTCCATCAAGCGGCCCTGTAGCCTTGGCCTCCTCTCATTTGCCACTGAGACTGTCATCAGTTTAAAGGATCTGATTCCCATCAAACTCTCCCATACCTATTGGTGCTAAGGGCTATTTAACCCATCCCTCTCATGAGTAATTTTAATGAGGGCCAGCAGTTCCTTGACACACAATACAATAGCAACACCACTGGCTGTGGCAGCTGTTACAGAGTAGAGCCCCATTGGCCATGTTGAATTAGGATGGGCCCCAATCAGATGATCAAATATCCAGATCGTGGGTTCCCAAACTAGGGGTGTGCCCCCCTGGGGGGGACATGAAGAAATTCCATGAGGGGCACGAGGCATCCCAGGCCCCCCTCCGCCATTAAGTTTTGCTGCCCCGTCAGTTCTTTTTTTTTCTAACTCAGCAAGTTTTGCTCCCATTTTTGGGGGGTGGGGGGATGAGAGGGTTTTTCAAAAATCAAAAAGGAGGACATGATGCTGAAAAGTTTGGGAACCACTGATCCAGATAATCAGGAGACTGGGAGGTTGCAGAGCCATCTAGTGGCCACAAGAAGAGTTGCCTGCTTCTGGCCCTGCGTGCGCTGGTTGGGGGGTTCACATGGGATGCTGCACAATAGAAGGGGGAAACAACAGAGCTCTACTACACACACACACACACACACACACACACACACACACACAGTATCTGTACTGACTCCACACGATAGGACACCTCCTATTATTCACTGCTGCTAGCAACACTCTTACATGTCTCCTCACAGCTCCCTCCATAATGGGGCAGGCAGGAAAAGATCATTACATCCAACTGACAAAGGGAGACACAAAGGCTGAGAAAGGCAAAGGGCCTTGTCTGACGTCACACAGCCTGTCAGGTACAACACTAGGAATAGGACCCAGAAACTCTGATTTTGAAACTCACCATCACTCTTGACTTTTGCACCCTGACTGATAAGAATAAGGTGACCTCCAATGAGATTCAGACTCACATCCCTGCCTAGGGATTGCTCAGTCAGTAGGTTAGAAGAACTACAACAAGGGGGTCAGCAACTGTTCCAAAGGGGTGTACAAAGATTTAACCCTCCTGTCCAGGGCCGTGCCACTCTCTGGGAAAGGGGGAGGGGCTCTCTCCACCACACAAGCTGTGGGACACATGGGTCAATACACACCTTTCCATGGACTACCAGTTGCTCATGGACACTCATGGTTAATTATATAATTACACCTGAGACATTTTGCTATTGCTGCAGCTGGGGAGTTGAGGACTGGAACCAAATTGGGGGCTTGTTGGCCAGGCTTCATTTTTAAATAAAGTAAAATGTTATGTCCAACATAAAAGGTTTCAACAATGACTTTATTTATGGCAAGAGTGAGGAACCTTTTATGGGCTGGGGGTCACTGACCCACAGAAAAATCAGTTGGAGACCACACAAGTGAGAAGCAAAAAAACTCCTCAAACCCCCCCAAAAAAACCTCACTGATATGGCCCCAACTGAGGCGCCTCACTCCTCTGGTGCCCCAGCCTCATAGGGTGAGGGAAAAGGAAGGGGAGACTGAGCTTCAGGGCTTACTATAGACCAGATTTACTTTTCTGGGATTATGGGGTTAGTGGATTTTACAGACATCCTTAGGCTCTGGGATAAGGACAAAAATGAGGGATACAGTGTGAGACGAGACTGCCAGCAAATACAATAGGGAAGGGGTGCATGATCTGGGAGGGAGCTGTGGTGTAGAAGCAGGCTAAGAATAGAGCATCTTCAAGGTGGAGGAAGCAGGAACAAGGGAGGGTGTCAGAGCAAGCTGGGGCTCCTGAGTGTTGGGGAGGAGGGAAGTGAGAGGAAAGGGGTGGGGGGTCTGGGGATGAGGGGAAATATTACCTGGCTTTATATCCCCTTACAGCAACTTCTGATGCAACACTGTCCCGTCTGCTGTGGAGGACACCACAGGCTGGAAACAACACTACCACAGCCATTCAGCTGTGGGTCAGCCCTGGAGACCAGAGGCATCGCTGCAGCAGCCACATGGCCCGGGGCCAGAGGTGCCATTGCCACAGCAATGCACCCAGAGCCAGCCCCAGAAGCACACTGCTATGGCCACATGGCCCCAGAGACAGAAGATTCCATGGTTGTGGCCCTGAGTTGGCCTTGAAAGTCAGAGGTGCAGGGGCAGTGGTGCCTCCAGCCTCCAAGGCTGGCCCCAGGTTGTGCAGTGGAGCCTCAGCCCCATTGCTGCCTTCTCTCCAGAGGCTGCACAGCAGGAAGAGAGACGGGGCTGAGCTCATTCCCTAGCAGCACATGCCCATTGCGGGCAGGGTCAAAGCCCTAAGTGGGCTGGATTCTGCCCACTGAGAGGCTTTTGCTCACCTCCAATATAGGGTTTCTCCCCTATGTGGGTTTTCCTATGTGCAACAAGGCTTGAACTGTCACTGAATCTTTTCCTGCAATCAGAGCAGCTAAAGGGTTTCTCTCCTGTGTGGGTTCTCCTATGTCTAACAAGGTGTGACTTGTGACTGAAGCTTTTCCCACAATCAGAGCAGCTGAAGGGTTTATCCCCTGTGTGGGTTCTCCTATGTGCAACAAGCACCGAACTTTTACTGAAGCTTTTCCCGCAGTCAGAGCAGCTGAAGGGTTTCTCTCCTGTGTGGGTTCTCCTATGTGCAACAAGGCTTGAACTGTCACTGAATCTTTTCCTGCAATCAGAGCAGCTAAAGGGTTTCTCTCCTGTGTGGGTTCTCCTATGTGCAACAAGCACCGAACTTTTACTGAAGCTTTTCCCGCAGTCAGAGCAGCTGAAGGGTTTCTCTCCTGTGTGCATTCTCCTATGGCTAACAAGGTACGACCTCCGACTAAACCTTTTCCCACAATCAGAGCAGCTGAAGGGTTTCTCTCCTGTGTGGGTTCTCCTATGTCTAACAAGCTGTGACCTGTGACTGAAGCATTTCCCACAGTCAGAGCAGCTGAAAGGTTTCTCTCCTGTGTGGGTTCTCCTATGTCTAACAAGCTGTGACCTGTGACTGAAGCATTTCCCACAGTCAGAGCAGCTGAAAGGTTTCTCTCCTGTGTGGGTTCTCCTATGTCTAACAAGCTGTGACCTGTGACTGAAGCATTTCCCACAGTCAGAGCAGCTGAAAGGTTTCTCTCCTGTGTGGGTTCTCCTATGGTAAACAAGGTGTGACCTCTCACTGAAGCATTTCCCACAGTCAGAGCAGCTGAAAGGTTTCTCTCCTGTGTGGGTTCTCCTATGGCTAACAAGGTATGAGCTCCGACTGAAGCTTTTCCCACAGTCAAAGCAGCTGAAGGGTTTCTCTCCTGTGTGGGCTCTTCTGTGTTTAATAAGAGTTGCACAGTCATTGCAAGCGCAGGGTGACTGTTGATGGGGGATTTTCTGTTGAACAGTTTCTGTGTTTGTTTTCAACCTCCTGCTTCTGTGACTGAATTTACCCTTTCCCCCTCCTGGAGGGTGTCCCTGATGCCTTTGTGGGCTACACTGTCTCTTACAGGTCTCTCCTTGCTTAGGACTCTGAGAAACATGTTCTTGAGATATTCCCAACATCATCCCACATGGAGCCATTTGCTCTGGTCCTTCATTCTGAAGACTTTTGGCATGGTTCTCACTCAGCCTCCCATCACCTGTTGAAAAAGAGACTGAAATCATTCATTTTGCTAAACTGAAAGAAAACTATAAAGAGAAATAGAAAAGGGGGACCATGCCCCAAGAATGGCTGGAAAGACTGAATAATCATTAGCTGAGTTCATCCTCCTTCCCCAAAACCCTTTTGCCCACCCAGTGCCCTCTGACTGGTGTTCAAGATAGGCTGAAGAGTCAGTCACACTTGATGAAAATGCACAACTGAAATCTGCTATGACGACACTCAAATTAGTTTGAGTCAGTTTAGCTGATTGCTCACCTGTCTGGGTGTGTCTGATGATCTCTCCTCTCAAAAAGCCCTGGAGATCTGGGGTCTGCTGCTCCTCCCCCTGCTCCACCCAGGAGACCACACGAGCTTTGGAGACAGGAAATCCTGTTTGGGGAGCAATTAAAAGAGTTGATCCTGTTCATTAACGTCTGTTGCATTACTGCTTCCGAGTCAGGATCTGAGTCGCCCTCCCAGAGAGGCACCTTCCCCACCTTGCAGAGATTGGGCTGTGGCTGGTACAAGATCTCAGGACACACTCACTTCCAGTAAAGGTGCATCCTCTCTGCCTCTGGAATGGCCCAACTGATTCCCCAAGGGAGCTGAGTGCTCTGCTGCACTCTCTAAAGTACAATTTAGTCTCCCTCATGGCCCATTTCCATCCCCACCTCCCGCCCCAGGACAGGACAGGAACACACTGCTCAGAAGGGGAGCTCTAGTGAAGGCTTGAAGGTCTGACACCGAGGCCCTCAGGCAGGGCTCAGACTGGAGCTGCCACATGGCAGGTCACTAGGACTTGGAGAGAAAGGACTCAGCAGAGCTCTAGCTCCCCAAGGTCTCTGTCTACAAAGCTCCTGGCTGGGGGGCTTGGCTCACCCTGCTCTTTGGCTCAGATGCTCTACTTGGGCCAGAAGGAGGCAGGTGAAGTTGTCTGAGTAGCAAAATGAACCCTTTGGCTGGTTGCTTCAGGCACTGCCTAAGCTCCATACTCCTGATGCTGACTATCTGTGCATGCGTGGACTCTGCCAGCTGCCCACAACAGCTGTCGTTTCTGCAGTCAGCTAGGGCAGTGCCCCTGTCCCTGCAGCTTAGCTCCCCAGCAGCATGTAACCTATGGTGGGGTGAGGGAAGGCAGTGGACTCACCCAGTATGTAGGGACTGAGGCGTGGAAGGCCAGTGAGAAGTTTATGGGGGAGGCAAAGATCAATGGAGTCGAATGTAGGGGCTGGCAAGACACAGGCTCAGAGATCACAATAGTTAAGGGACACCTGGTAAGATTGGAGGACATGGTGCCTGGGAAAAGTGTAACGAAAATGGCTTTGTCTGAGTATTCTATGAGCCTGCCCATGGCTAAAGTCCATCTCGAGTGGGGGGACTTTAGAAAGCACGTGTTGGTGGCTGCCCGGGACTTGATCCCGGCTGAGGTCTTGGTGGGGAATAACATAGTGGATGTGCCTCACCACGCTAATATAGTAACCGGATCACAGAAGGAATATGGGCCTAAGACCGGTAGCTGTGTGCCTGTGAGTAAGAGTTCTGAGGGCCTGTCTGATGCCTCAGAGGAGAGGCTGGAATCAGAAGCAGGGCAGGGGGACCCCAGGAGGCAGGGCAATGCTGCTCTGGAGCAGGTTATGGGGGATGGCTCATTGGCTGGGGACGCTTGTGAGTCTGAACCTGCACAAGCTGGAAGTGAGTTGTGGGAAGAAGCACCATGTGAGCAGCCAGTGTGTGCAAGCTCGCAATTTGGCTGGTAAAAGTAGCAGTGGGACAGTGAAGGAAGCTGTCTCGGTCACTAGCTGTGTGCCTGAGAATAGCCAGGAGTGTTGGGACAAAAGAGGGAATGTCTCTGATTATCTGTCTGTGGGTGGCAGCAGCATGCCTGTGGGGGAAGAGTTTCCTCCCAGTCCACTGTTTGAGGAAGGTGCTCCTCAGCCTGTGTTGGCAGAAAGCAGGGCTGCGGTCCCAGAGTTAGATCTGGACACAGCCAGGGCCCAGAAAGGCCCTAAGTTTGTGTCTGCTGGGGAGAAGGATGCTGTGACTTGGGTAGATCCAGGCAGTGTTTTGCCAGGGCCCCAGAGATCAGACACTTGTGGCACTGACATTGTGCCTGATTCTGGTGTGTTGCTGGAGGATAGGGGAGTGACTCTGTGGGACCAGGGTGACCCATTAGCTGGGGCACAAGGAGAGAATGAGGGCATGTTAACTTTGGTGCCTAATGACAGTATGAAAGCTTGCAGCCATCTGGGAAGTTGCAAAAGGAAGGAATACATCTCCGACCCGATAACTTGTGAATCTGTCTGTGTGCTTGAAGGGAGATTGGTTAGGAATCCGCCAGATGGGCCAGAGATGACTCACAAAGTAAAGGAATTGCAGGAGGAGTTGGTTGTGGCTCAGCAGAGCGATGCTGCTGCAGAGCCAGAGAATGATGAACAGTTGCTTAAGGAAGCTCATAGGGAAGAGATTCCTTGCAGTGCTTTTAGCAAGCAGTTTGCTGTGACTGAGGGAGGTGACAAAGCCTTGCTTGGAAAAGGCAGTCAAGAGAAAGTTCTGCGTGTATGAAGCAGCAGCTTGTTGTGTGAGGCACTTGTTTCAGAGCCTGACAGAATTGTTCTGGTAACCATGACTCCACTGACTTGGATTTAGAGAAGCCCAGTGTGGATGGTTTTGGAGAGATCTCAGAGGGACTGAGAACTGCTTCAAATGAGGCAGGGACAGCCAGGGAATTGAAGCAGTCTGATGTCCAAGTGACTGTATGTAACCAGCTTGCTGGGAAGTCTGCGTGTTTGGAACAGGATTATTCCCAGGTGGATGAGGAGAGTGGAAAGTGTGTGTCTCAGATTCATGGGGAGAAAGACTGGGTAGCCAAGTATGCAGAGCAGAACAGCTGTGTGGTTACTCACTCTAGGATGCAGGAGATGGAAGTTAAGCTCCCATCTCTGGACACTGTGGACACTCGGAATCGATCAGGGAATTTGATATCTAGTTCCATGTGGAAACAGAGGTTGGAGGTGGAAGGAGGAGACTTGTGAGTCTACAGCTTATTGTTGTTACCTCACTGAGTGGGGGGAGAGAGAGAATTCCATGGCCATTGTGGTCCCAGAAGACACACCCAGCCAGCCCTTTGTCTTTATTAGGTCAGAGGCTTCAGGTTTTGAAGCCACCCATGGGGGAAGGGTAGAACTAGCTTTGGCAAAAAAGACTTGCAGTTTAAACCTGAAGGCCCAGAACTGCAATGGTGTGGAGCCAAAGATGTGGCGTAAAAGAATGTACTGTCACTGTACACTGGATATGGATTTGCTCCTATTAATGTCAACTCTTGTAACCAATGTACTATTGCTGCAGAGAATTGTAAAGATGTATGATGTGCATGATCGTATGAAAATACCTTGTAACTTCTCAAGAAATGTACCAGATGACAAAATGTATGTTAAGGACCTTGGGATGTTGATATTTCATGGTTAATGCTTGTAACTGGTCTTGGAACTTCTTGCAGGACAAAGAAGGGTCTGGTCAGAAGCTGCTGTGTGAAAAGGGAAACTGAGGCACACCACCATTTTGTTTCTGTGGCTAAATGCAAAGATACCTACACTATGAGGGGTGAGAATACCTACCTGAACAGAATGTTAATTGGTGTTCAGAGAGTTGCCACAGCTGGCCTGGATAAATTCACCATTTTCTTTAGCTTTTGGCAAGGTCACCTGACACACTTGGGGATTATGCTGCAAAAGCAGATCCAATGGGCTATGTTTTTTACCAAGTTTTACCTTGAGATTATCAGACAGTGCAAGGACATGGTTGTCTCTATAACAGAACTTGCAGTGCTGAAGCCTGTTTTAAGCGAACTTGGTTTTCATACACTTGTCCACCTCTGTACTGTGGTTTCTAACATTGGATTAGAATGGGTAATGGCACAGAGCCAAAACATGGGGAGGCCTGTGATGCCCTCAGTGATGTTACTAGCATCACCTCCTGCATCAATTTTGAGTTGGGGGTGTCATGTTACTGGATTTTAAGGGGAGCAGCTAGATCACTGCTGCACCCACGGGGGGGGATGTCGGCCCCAAAAGTGTTACAAGGGGGCCATGTGAGGTGTCAAATAGAACCTTACTTTGTTCTGATTCCATGTATGCTATTAATGTAATTGCATAATGTCTGCGTATAAAGTTATAAGCATGTACTCTGTGTGGATACTGAATGTTTCTCTGTATGTGGTTGAGCAATGGGCAAAGCTCAGCCTATGGATATCCTAATGATCAAGTCGCTATGGAACAATTTCCCTCTATAGGCCAAGGGGACACCTCAAGAATGGTGACTGATACCTAAGGGATACCAGCAGGGAACACAGGGATAGGCCACGGGCCAGGTGACCTGCTGTCATGATTATGAGGGTTAGCCAGCAGCCTGGGGATTAAGGAGTTAACTACACCTAGCCAGGTGGAGTGACCAGTAGGAATGTAGGTGGCACTTTCAAACTGGGACAAAGGAATTTGTTTTTTTTTCCTCTTCTTTTGACTCTCTGGGAGTGTTCTCTGCAGCTACAGAGAGGGACAAGCATGTCTCTCTCTCTCCAAGACACCATTCTTCATTTTCTGTAAGTAGGGTAAAGTTTAGGTAGTTTCGTTAGGCTTTATTGTTTTAAGGGTTGGGTATGGGATCTGAGATCTGGCACTGTTTAAAAGATGTTTTGGCTTTTCTTTGTAACTAAAGGTATGTCTACACTACAAAGTTCCTTTCATAGGCGCTACACACGCAAACCGCTAGTTCAAACTTAATTCGAACTAGCGGAGTGCTTAATTTGAACTAGGTAAACCTCATTCTACGAGGACTAACGCCTAGTTCGAATTAAGTAGTTCGAATTAAGGGCTGTGTAGCCACTTAATTCGAACTAGTGGGAGGCTAGCCCTTCCCAGCTTGCCCTGGTGGCCACTCTGGGCACAACCAGGGAAACTCATCTACCCCCCTCCCAGCCCCGGAGCCCTTAAAGGGGCACTGTCTGGCTACAGTGCCTGTGCCAGGTGCAAGCTTGCCAACACCCAGCCAGCAGACCCTGCACCTGGCATGGCATGAGCCAGCCACCTGCTACCACCCAGCCCTCCGCCTCTTCCAGGGACCAGGCTGGCAGCTCGCGCACCCACCTGGTCGAGTGCGGAGATCGTGAACCTCATCCACGACCTCCGCACTAGGCACAGGAAAGTGGCTGTCTAGGGCAGGATAGCTGCCAGCCTGGCCACCAAAAGCCACATGCAAACCCAGGAGCAGGTTTCCAAGAAAATCCAGGTGGTCCAGTGAGACCCCCCCAACCCTGAGCCCTGAGCTTAGAACATAAGAATGGCCGTACTGGGTCAGACCAAAGGTCCATCTAG